AAATCTTTGCAACTGAACAACTTGCAGGGGAGAAAGCAGCCAATGACAGAAACGTACAGTGGGAAGTCCTTCCCACACTGAACAGATCAAACTCCACAGCCTGAGGACTCTCCAAAATGGAATGATACATTTTTAATTCCATTTCCCTCAAAGGTGGGAAGTGGCGGGAGCACAAGTTTGTTTCACCACTAACATTTTATTTGCTGTTAGCCCTGCCTTCCTTAAGCAGCCTTGTAACTAGAAGATCTCATGTGGGTGTTTAAACACATTAGTGGGTTTTATCACAGAGAACACTCATGACTTGGTCCTGCTTTAGGCTGACTTCACAGTACAAGGCAACCCTGGTTTCTTAAGGTTTCCTGCACCAGTTCTTCGTGTTTCTACACGACATCTCATGATGCCAACAGAAATTATTTTCATCAACTGCTTCAAAATGACCAAAGTTAACTGACTGACTCCTGAATGGAACATCTTTGAAATGGAAGCATATGGCCCTGTTGTTTCTCCAGAGGAGACTTTTGAACTGATTTTCTGCTTTATTTAGTTGCATAACAGGCTTTTTCACAGGCAATAAAAGGACCTTCTATATATAAATATCTTTTTACTTAGCAGACCTGTTGTTCAATCGCTCAGTCACATCCGACTCTTTGTGACCCCATGGACCGCAGCACGCGAGGGTTCCCTGTCCTTCACCATCTCCCAGAGCTTGCTCAAACTCATGTCCGTTAAATCTGTGATGCCATCCAACCATCTCGTCCATGTCTTGGCAGACATGAGAACTTTTAAAAAAAATTCATCACAATTTCATTCATTTTAGACAAATTTGCTTTGGTCATTCTCAACCACTGTCATGTTTTAATTATTGGTGTTATCATTTTTTTTTCTTGGCCACATCACACAGCCTGTAGCATCTTAGTTCCTGGACCAGGGATCGAACCAGTGCCCTCTGCAGTGACAGTGCAGAGTCTTAACCATTGGACCACCAGGGAAGTCTGGAGCTATCACTTTCAGTAAGAGAAATGATTAATCTGGAGTCTAATGTTATGGGAAACTTTTCACCTGGTAAAGAAATTTATTCTGAATCTAATAATAGTTTGAGAGTATGTGAAGGGTTTTGACACAGACGAGATCACCAGATGGTCCAGCTCTTCTGAGGAACCAGCAGAAGTAGCTGCTGGATGGATTTAGGTTCATAAAAGAGGAGTCCCTCTGCCCCTTCAAACACTGAGATGAGCTCCTGATTGAAGACTTGGTCTCCTTGCCTGGATTTTGGTGCTTTGTTTTTTAAGTGTATAGATGATTACATGTTCAGAATGGATTCACTGCAGTCCTGCCTGGGGATAACGGTAGAGATGCCGTAAGAAGGCTTCCAGCTTTCAGATGTTAAGGGCTGAGGTTCTGAAGTCACAGCCAAAGTCCAGAGCATGATTTGCTTTCTCTGCCCCTTTCCACAAGTTTGTAAACACACGCTTAAGAGAGCGGAGCACAGTTCTCCATTACTAAACTGCTCTGAGATGCGAAAGTGTCTGCCGTTCAAGCCAACACTCTCCCTGCACTCAGTCTCCCTGCACAGGCTCTTGCACGTAATAGATTCCTGTTCTTTTGTTTTAGCAAACGGTCCTGATGAGAGTTTACAATCTAATGGACGGCAGGAAGAGGGTATATAAACTACCTACAATCTATTAACAGCTACTTGTCGAAGAATAGGCCGAGTATTTGACCCCAGGCAGGCTTTGCCACATCCACATAACTTCAAACTAAACACAGGACTATTATCAGATTAGCTTCTTAATTTGTTGCAGTCACTGGGGCATCATGAAGATATAGCCTAGAGTTAACAACTTTTGACAAAATCACAGAGTAAAGACTCCTGAACCTCAATGAACGGGGCTAAGCAACTGTCTCCCATGCCTCCCTCTGCTCCACGGGGGAAGAGATGGGACTCTGAAAGCTAACAGGCAAGGTGAGGGACAGAATTGTTTCCTTTAATCCTTCCTCAGGGCAAAAACACCAATATCTGCATGGTGTGAGGAAATGTGCCATTCAGGGACAAACCAGGAAGTAACGTGGCAATAACGCTGTCGTGGAAAATGTAGGAATTTTAGCCACCAGGATGTGAGTCATATTATGGAGTTACAATTTTACATTCTGGGCTTTGTGGGTTTTTTTTTTGTAAATTATAGGTAGAGACAATAACAACTGGGAAAGCTCTCTATACTGAGAATCCTCTTCTATGCACATATCAAATCAGACAGCTTCCAAGGGCTCTGTGGCGTAGTCACATAACATGGCTAAACCAAGGAGGGAGCCTTAGTAGGCAGAGGCCATAAATACACGGAGGGGTCCTGAAAAAGCCAGCTGCCAGCTCTACTTTCGTTAGTCAAGGGTCTTTAAAGTTGGCCTTCAGTGGGGCTGAGTCCGAAACTCTCAATGGTTCTTTGAAAGCTGTCTGGTCCCATTTCATCTGAGGTCAAAGCAGAGTTCAGAAGAGATAAAAAAAGAGCCTGCTTCTCTCTCTGAGAGCATGTCTGTGACACCCACCCTTTCTGCTCATCTCCTTCCAGGAGCACTGTCTGTCTCTTGAAGTTGAGACACCTGACGCCGGCAGTCTAGAAAACTCCTCAGATCATCCACTCTGGCCACACGTACTTCAGAAGTGCTTGGAAAGGGGCGCTAACAGGAAGCTCCAGTTACTGATGACGACTTGGTCATAATCTCACCAAACTGTTAAGTCCTGAGTTTGGGTATTAAACTCTTCAATCAGTTCCACACAATTCACTTAGTATCTTCACAGACTTGAACCCCACTGCTTCACTCTTTTCATAAGAGACATTCAGCATTGAGAACACCAACTCTTGCACCAGGCTGCCTGGGTGGATTCTTTTTTTTTTTTTTTAATTGAGTCTACTAGCTGCCAGACTTTGGGCAAACTAAAGGAAATGGCAACCCACTCCAGTATTCTTGCCTGGAAAATCCCATGGATGGAGGAGCCTGGTCTACAGGCTACAGTCCAAGGGGTCACAAAGAGTCAGACACGACTGACTGACTTCACTTTCACTTTCATTAATACTCACCTTCTTCAGGCTTCAGTTTCACCATTGTGAAATGGGGCAATCAGCTTTTCCTGAAGATTAGACGACTNGTCTACAGGCTACAGTCCAAGGGGTCACAAAGAGTCAGACACGACTGAGCGACTTCACTTTCACTTTCATTAATACTCACCTTCTTCAGGCTTCAGTTTCACCATTGTGAAATGGGGCAATCAGCTTTTCCTGAAGATTAGACGACTTGATAGAAGGAAAGCACGGAGCACAGTGGCCAGCACCCACTATTTCCCAAGTTTTGTGCTGGTCACTCCATTACCAGACCTATACTAAGTAACCATGTTGTTATTAAAGAATATTCCTGGTAAAATGAAACTGAAACCTTAACTTTTCTTGCTTAACTTCAAAAAGGCCAACATGCAAATACTAACTAATGCCCCAAATACTTTGGGGCAGACAGTTTTTTCTGGGTTTACCACTTCATTGTTCATATTCAGTACCTTCTGGGTGGGACCCCGTGGATTTGATGAGGAAACAAAAAACTGGGCCATTGCTCTCAAGGAGCTATTTAAGACTGACCTAGTTTCCTCATCTGTAATCGAAAAGGGAATGCTTGAGGAGCTATTTAATGAGAACAAAGTGATGTGTCCTGCTGGGCTACAAGTACTGTACAGAAGTCACGGGCTCTGAAATAAACCAGAGGATTCTCTACCTAGGTGGCTCAGAGAGCCCCAACTGTGGATTCCCACTGCCACTGAGGACTTTCCTATGGAGAAGAGGCCAGAGGGACAGGCCTGGCCAGGTGGGCTGCAGGTTTGCGGACCCCAAAGCCAGTGAGGGAAGAGACCAGGTGCACAACCCCTCCAGGCTAGAGCTGTCCTGGGAGCCAGGACATGCCACGCACCCGCCATGAGTGTGTCTCCTCGGTTGCACGCTGACCACTCTGAGCTCTCCTGGGTGGTGGGCCATGCAGGCCTTCCCCACCCGGCCCCGTGCTCTTGCAGGCGGCTAGCACCCCTAACCTGGGAAACAAGGGGAGCCTCTACTTCTCGAGTCCACCTGTCCACCTGAACTTTGAGGCATGGCTCCTGAACGCACAGTAAGTATAAAGACATTTATGAAATAGCTTGTTAACCATCCTGTCACCATCACTGACTGCAGCTATGAAATTAAAAGGTGCTTGTTCCTTGGAAGGAAAGCTATGACCAACCTAGACAGCATGTTAAAAAGCAGAGACATTACTTTGCTAACAAAGGTCCGTCTGATCAAAGCTATGGTTTTTCCAGTAGTCGTGTATGGATGTGAGAGTTGGACTCTAAAGAAAGCTGAGCGCCAAAGAATTGATGCTTTGGAACTTTGGTGTTGGAGAAGACTCTTGAGAGTCCCTTGGACAGCAAAGAAATCCAACAAGTCCATCCTAAAGGAAAGCAGTCCTGAATGCTCATTGGAAGGACTGACGCTGAAGCTGAAACTCCAATACTTTGGCCACCTGATGAGAACTGACTCACCGGAAAAAAACCCTGATGCTGGGAAAGACAGAAAGTAGGAGAAGGGGACGACAGAGGATGAGATGGTTGGATGGTATCACCGAATGGATGGACATGAGTTTGAGTAAACTCCGGGAGGTGGTGATGGACAGTGAGGCCTGGTGTGCTGCAGTCCATGGGGTCGCAGAGTCGGACACGACTGAGCGACTGGACTGAACTGATTAACCATCCTATCGAAGCAGTATTTTATTAAATAAGAAAGACGTATGCAAGCTGTAAGCCCACTGGGAACGCAGATACACTGAGGTCAGAGCCAACGTAAGGGATCGAGGGGAAACGAGCCTCCGAGCGCCGCACCACCTGCGGCGGCAGGAGCCGGGGGAGGGACCACTGCACGCCCTTTTCTGTCGGAGGACTTGAAGCCGCCAGCCGGAAACGCCCTCCTCCTAACTTCGCTTTTCCTTTAAAGCCGGGAGTCAACGCCCCGCCCACTACGGAAGGCGAAGAGGGTCTCACTCGGGAGCCCGCTCGCGGGCTGCTGCCGCCAAACCTCATCAATCGGCGGCTAAAGGTAAAGCTAAAGGCCAGGGGCGCAGCGAGAGTGAGGGGACCGGCGGCGGGAAGACGGGGTCGTAGGAGCGGGCCTGCGGGGCATGCGGCCTGGCGCTCGGCCATGTCGTCGTCCTTGGAAGGCCAGTGCCGCCCACCTGCCGGCGGACTCACGGGATGTAAAGCTGTCTTAGAGTCCAGGCTAGGGCAGGCGCCCGTCCTTCCGGGCCCTACGTCTTCCGCCCGGGCATCTTGGCACACGTACGGGGACTCGCGCAAGCACGCATGCCGGACGTCGCTACGCTTGTCTCCTGCCCTGGCGCGCCGCGGCTGGGGTGGGCGAGGCCGTCGCAAGCGCACCTGACTGGTCCGTTCGGCGCGCGTAGCCCCGTCCTTCGGTTCTTGGCTCCCCTCCTGGCAGGTGAGACAGCGCAGACACTTGCAGACCCTTGCTGTTTGCGGCCGTTCAAGGAGGGGTGCTGGAGGAAAGTCGCTGAACCATCTGAGATTTCTCTTTCTTTTTTTACCCCCGCTTATCATTTACTGGGCTTCCCGGCATAAGGCTCCTTGAAGTAAAAACATTTTCTTACTGAATAGCCGCAGTTCCGAGAGCACGCTATGAGGTTTTACTGTGCCAGGCGCGGTTCCGGGAAGGGTATGCCACATGTGTTCCTTGCTTCACAGAACTCACCGTCTAGTGAAGGAGAGAATCAGCAATAATCACAAAATTATAATCGTGGAGAGAGAGGTTATACTGTGGAAATACTTGACCGTTGGGCTCGAAAAACAAATGGGGGGGGGGGGCTCTCAGGAGAGATCTGGCTTAATCTTGGAGGTGATCAGAGAAATGCACTGAGAAAGGCAGCGCTCGGCAGAAAGGGAGTTCCCTAAACCAAGGGGTAAGAGCATTCAAGATCAGCAAGGCCAGTGTGGTTTAGGCATAAAGGAAGTTTGGTGTGGAATGAGGCGGGAATGGCCTTTTGGCCTCCTGAAAGCTTGGAGACAGCAACCTGCAGGCCTGGGGTTGGCGATGCTCAGCCCCTACCAGAGCGGGACACATGGGGCAAGGGTCAGGCCTCCAGGCAGAAGGACTTAGTGAAACTCCTTTGGAAGCAGTGACAGAGCCTTCTTAAAAGTCATCAGAATTGGAAAAATTAATTTCATAAATATTTAGTCCACTAGAATCCATGTAACTTTTGATCCAACCTCCCAAGAAATAATAGATATCAATATATAACATTAGCTATGTAGGAAAGAAAAGCAGTGAGTGAACAAATAAATAGAAGTTATTTTCATCTCGTCAGTTGATAGGAGTTTGGTTACACAAGTCTTGTCAAAGTATATGCTTAAGACTTATACATGTTATTATTTGTAAATTTTGTCTCAAATTGAAAAAAGTTGTAAATGAATACTGAACTCTAGGTAATGATATGCATGCTGAAGTACTTGAGGGTGAAATGTAGCAGTGTCTGCAGCTTACTTTGAAATGTATCAAAACATAATAAAATGGATGGAAAGAAGAATAAATGTACATACACCAAGGAGAGCAACAGTGGAATCTAGGTGAATGAGTATTGGGGTGTTGACCGTATAGTATTTTAACTTTTCTGAATATTTAAGCATTTTCATAATAAAAGTTGGGAAAGTAGTCTTATAATAGGGAAGTGCCTCTGTGTTCCAGTTAATCGTTAAAGAGATGTTGCCTGCAAGCTTAAATTACACAGTTGTCTATCTTTAGGAACCTGCCTCCCAGGTGAAGCTCAAATACCTTTGTTCAGCTCACAGAAAACACTTTGTCCAATCCCACCTCTGAATGACTGCAAGGAGGAAGAAATTAACACATCCGCTCTGGAGCCTGGCTGGAACCTGGACTTTACCCCCTCCCCTTTTCATATAAAAGAAAGTCAGAATTCTAACTCAGGGAAGTTGCTTCTTTGGGACATGAGTCCATCATCTCAGCCTGCTTGCTTTCCAACAGAGTCACCAAAGTCAACAAGTCTATCGGTTTGTGGGTCTGCCGTGTGGTGAGCAGTGCAAGCCTGGACTTGGTGACAGTCCTCAGAGAATGTGACTCCTCTGAGCCAGCTGGAGACTGCTGCGACAGCGTGAAGGCCGCAGCCCTGAGCCCCCCTGAAGCACAGCACGCGGAAGCCCACGCGCTGCAGGACCGCCCAGTTTATGGCTCAACGCTTACATTCCAGTTCTTATGGACGTGTGGGCCAAACGCCAGAACTCCCCTGTTGTATACATCTGAAATAATGTGACTCTTTCTTATATCATCTAGGACGGTCAGGGATGATGCAGAAGAGCCCCGGGAAGTGGAGTGAGGACAGAAAGTAGCAGGAGCTGCAGAAGAGGAGCCACAAACATAGGAGACAGGCCCTGAGGATGCCTGTCAGTCTGTCCTCTGGTGCTCAGAGGATGTGGAGTTTTTCAGTGATCCTGTCTCAAGTAAGTAAAGAACACAGCAAAAAAGAAGCCTTCTGTTTCTCTCTAGAATGTGGAGTTAGCTACTCAACTAAAACTACCAGTAGATGCAGCTGATACAGCACAGCATGATTTCAGTAAGGTCTGAATAAACACAAAATCAGAAATGGATATCTCATACTATCAAATTATGCATTTTAAGTAACTGGCTTTAAGGTAACTGGCTCTTAAAATATTTTTGGATGTCTCAGAAACGATAGTTTTGTGAGTGGCCAGGTGTACCAGTATTGTCATAAGAACATAACCATTTTCATTTTGATAGATCTGATTCATTTAGGCTGTTATATGTTTGACAAAGACATCTTATCAGAGAAATGGGCTTCCTATTTTGCCTCAATCTTGAAAGGTTAAGGGTACCCCAAGACATCTCAGTGTTAAGTTACTTGGATTCACTTATACTGTAATGCTTTATTACTCACTTTCTTATGCCATCTTTTTCTGGGGGTCCTAACCCAGGAGCTGTTAACAGGAGAGGGGTACGGACACATTGTGTGTTCTGAAAAAACATCCCCAGATGATGCTGGTGGGCCTCCAGCTTCTGAGAGCCCTTCTCTAAAATACACATTAGCTTTTAGCTACTTTGGTTAGCAGAAAATTGTACACATTCTACCTTAAACTGAAATCATCGCCATTTACTAGATAAGGCACTTTAAGACTTGATCTTACGAAAACCAGATGGAGAAAGAAAGGCAATTTGCATTAAAAAAAAAAGTCAGACCATTAAGTTTGTAAAGTTCCTTAGACATAGGCTCTGCTTAAACACAGACTTACAGCTAATGAAAGGAATATTTGTTAAGGATACATAAAGTCAGAGTGCCAATTTATTAAATTACAGTAAATATACAATTACACATACTGGAATAGTCATATTGGCATGACTAGTGAATTTTTTCCTCCCTGTAGGTTTCTGATTCTTTCTAAAATCAACTTTTTAATTATGAAAAAAAATTTAAACATACAAAAGTTGAAAGACTAACAACTAAACACTCATACAAGCTTAAGCGAGATTCTGCAGATGTTGCCATAATCACATTTATTTGCTGCTGAACCATTTCAGAGTAAGTAAGCAGATGTCATGACTCACTCCCTAAGATTCCCTAAGAATGCCATTTTTATGGCTGAGAAAACAGTACTTTTCTCAGAGTCTAATCCATCATGAATCTAGGCCATATGCAGTTCTTCCTCCCTTATCCCCATGTGTCTTTTTAATTGCTTCTCTTTTAAACATTGAATTTTATGTCTCCTTAGTCTTTTAGTTCAAGTTCCCAGTGACACTGATTTTTTCGTAACGCTTGAAGCCACCGGTCTTGTCCCATAGTCTGGATTTGTCAGTGGTTTCCTTGTTGAGTCATCTGATTTGTTCCTCTCAGAGTCTGGCCCTTGTATCCTTGAAAACCAGGAGCTCAGTCTAGAGGCTTGATGCTGTTCGGGTTCAGCTTTTTCGGCAGTCCTGTTTCACAGAAGGATCACCCGTCCCACAAAAAGACGAGTGTTAGGGTGTCAGAGTGCTGAGTCTGACCCATTATGGGGTGACAGCTGGAGCATGTGTTTCCTGCTTCCATTTGGAAGTATTCCTTGGGGCACCCTTTGGCACCCCATGAACTCCTTGTTTCCTTATCAGCCTTTTACCCAATGATGTTTGCATCCATCTAGGCCTGAACAAAGAGCCAGGCACGACTTAGAGACTGAACAACAAGGCTGAATTGGTGGTCTGATTGGAGATGGGAAAATGGTGGTTTTCAGTTAACTTTTATTTTTCTTCCCCAGGTATTAGCTGGCATTCTCCTCTAAAGAATACTTTTCTTCATCGACTGGGGATGATTATAGTTCTCCCTAAAAAGGTAGGATAAATACTTAGTTCTTTTTCTTTAATGACCAATTTCCAAAGTAAGTAGACAGTGTATTAGTCACATAGAGTTGTGGCCAACTGTCTTTTTCATGGATTTTTGCATGGTTGGTGTGTTGAAATGAATTTCAGTCACTGCTGTGTAAATGATTATACATTTGGCCAGTGAGAGTCTCTTCATGCAATCAAGTTGTAAATGAAACATAAACAGAATGATAACTACCAGGGATGTCTGAAGCCTGGATATTTGATGATGTAGAGGAATGATTATTAGCTGGGATGTGCTACTGTGGTTGTTCAGAAGATAAAAAAGTCCTCAGCTCTTAGAGGTGATGTACTCAATTGTCTGCTGATGAGACGGGATTTACTGTGAAGTCGTTCTTGGATATTGGGGTCTGGGGAGCAGTTGTTGGTGGAGAGGAAGCACGTTGGCTGACGTGCTGAGGGTCAGGGAGCTGAGCCACGGATGCTTCGGGCTTCCTTTTGCTCTTTCTTCTGTACATGTTTGAGAATTTTCCTGATAAAAAGTTTCTCAATGACTTGAATTTGTTATTTGTCTCTCAGATTTAATATCACAGGTTTCTTCCCCCCAACTCTGTATTTATATGTTTATCTATGTAAAGTTTATTTTGAAGAAATATGTATATCTTCAACTTTGCTGATCTAAAGTCAAAATTCAGCTAGTATTGACGCATAACTGCTGTGTAAGTCAAGAAGGTTTAAACCCTTTTAAAATTTGAATAACAGTAAAGACGCTTTAAAAAAAGTAAAGTATTTTTCTACTATTTACCTTTTCCTCTTTTTGGAAAGTGTTTTTAAAGCTTTTTTAAAAAACTTATCTTTCAGAAACAGTTTTTATTTTGTAAATACATAGAATTTATTTATACTTCCTCCTTATTAGAGAATGATAATTAGGAAGAATAGGGGAAAGAAAGTCACTGTGTCTTCAATCTGAGGAAAATTTCAGGGTTCTTCTTAAATTCCATCTTTTTCCTGTGCCTAGTTTATTTGCTCCCTTGTTCTATGTAATGGATTGCTGATTCATCACACAGGGCACGTGTGCTTTTTCATGATAAACAGAAGTTTTCTCCAGCGTCTTCAGACTTTTCTGCTTTTTTTGCTTTGGGGGCTTTCTCCGTGAATAAGTGTCTGATTGTTTGCTGTTGGGCAGTAAGTAGCTCAGCTATTTATTTAATTTTCCAAAGTGGTATGTATTTTATGGTGTTTTATGATTAGTTATTTTAACTTTTTAAAAATTTATTTTAATTGGAGGCTAATTACAGTATTGTAATGGTTTTTGCCATACATCAGCACGAGTCAGCCACGGGTGTACATGTGTCCTGCTGTCCTGAATGCCTCCCACCCCGACCTCCCTCCCCAAACCATCCCTCTGGGTTGTCCCAGTGCACCAGCTTTGAGTGGCTGCTTCATGCATTGAACTTAGACTGGTGATCTATTTCACATATGGTAATATACGTTTCAATGCTATTGTCTCAAATCATCTCACTCTTGCCTTCTCCCAGAGTCCAAAAGTCTGTTCTTTATATCTGTGTTTCTTTTGCTGTCTCGCATATAGGGTCATTGTTACCATCTTTCTAAATTCCATATATATGCATTAATACACTCTATTGGTGTTTTTCTTTCTGACTTACTTCATTCACTCTGTGTAATAGGCTCCAGTTTCATCCACCTCATTAGAACTGATTCAAATGTGTTCTTTTTAATAGCTGAGTAATATTCCATGGTGTATATGTACCACAGCTTTCTTATCCATTCATCTGCCAATGGACATCTAGGTTGCTTCCATGCCCTGGCTATTGTAAACAGTGCTGTGATGAACTCTGGGGTGCACGTGTCTCTTTCAGATCTGGTTTCCTTGGTGTGTATGCCCAGTGGTGGGATTGCTGGGTCGTTTGGCAGCTCTCTTTCCGGTTTTTTAAGGACTCTCCTCACTGTTCTCCGTAGCGGCTGTGCCTGTTTGCCTTCCCACCAGCAGTGTGAGAGGGCCCCCTTTGGCCCACCCTCGCCAGCGTTGATCGCTTGTAGACTCTGGATGTGGCTCAGCTCTTTAAACCCAGTTTCAGCCCAGTCCTGGGGTCTCTGCAGCGTCTGCAGGTGGGGTCCTTCTGCATGCTTCCAGGTGCCTCATTCACTGCGGATGAAACGTCACGGATCTCGTGGAGGGTGGCAGACACTTGAAATGCCAGCTAGGAACTGTTTTCTTCTTTGGTAAAGCATGGGTCATTTTATTCATAAATCTGACAATATTTTCTCATGGTAGTATAGAAAATGTCAGAAGAAGTTGACGCAGTGATATGATCAAATACTCCTGGGAAAAAAGACCCTAGGTTTTGAATAAAGGAAGAAGATATAAGGAGGAAAGTTGAGTATTTCTAGAAATGGACAGATAACCGCACTCACCAGCCTTCTGTGTGGCGGGTGGGGTGATGCACCTGAAGGCCCAGGATAAATGTCCGCAGACACGGCCTCCCTCCTGACCGCCTCCTTCGACTCACACGTTCATTCAGCATATATGGCCAGTCCTCCGTATCCACCAGTTCTGCATCCATGGATGCATCCAGCCATGACTAAAAATACTCAAGGAAGAAAAATCTCCAGAAAGTTCCAAAAGGCAAGACTGATTTGCTATGCCAGGCAGCTGTTGACATATCATTTCCACTGTTAGGTTTTTTAAGTAACCTAGAGACGATGTGGTATGTGGAAGGATGTACACAGGTTACATGCAAACACACAGCATTTTACATGCAGGACTCGAGCATCCGTGGATTTGGGTGTCTCCGGGGGCCCTGGAATCTGCCCCATGAGGATACTGAGGATGCAGCCATATACTGGGGCAGACTCTAGGCGCCGGGTTAGAACCTAGTCGGTTCCTTGCTGTGCTCCTAACCCAGCGGACAGACATGTTTTCTCACAAAGCTTACATGCTACTGAGGGAAGATCACGAACATTGTGTGCAGATGTCAGCAGTGAATGCTTTTAAAGGGCAAAGTGATGGGTTTGCAAGGATGGGGTGTGTCATTTACAGTGTGGACAGGCAGGATGTTGCTGAGGATTGAATGAAGCTGCCTCATCTGAGGGAAAGGATCACAGGGGTGGGTGTGTGTGTGTGTGCAGTGTCTACAAGAACAGCAAGGAGCCCGCAAGCTTGGAAGAGTGAGTGAAGGAGGTGGGCTGGGTGCTGTGGGTGGAGTGGGGTGGGGTGAGGGAGGGCTCTGGAGTGAGGCGGGGGCCCAGGAGGGCTATGAGCACAGGGGGTCCATGGTCTGACGTCCATGTTTTAAGTGTGGGTGATGGGTCATCAGGGGCAAGGGCAGCTGCAGGAGGCAGTCAGGAGGCTGGGACCTGACCCAGGTGAGAGGTGATCACGGCACTCGGGGAGGGTGATGGCAAGGGAGGGGATGGAGAGTGGTTGGGTCCTGGTGGCTTTTAGAGGTGGAACAAGGGGATCTGCTGATGAATGGTTAAGAGAAAAAGAAGGGCCAAGGATCACTTAGCTGTTTGGGGATCACTTAGCTCTATATCACACACGAAGTGCATGTGTGTTATAGAGACAGGAGGCCTGAGCTGGGGGTGGGAGAGCAGGTGGAACTCAGTCCTGCACATGCTGACCCGAGGGTGCTGCCTGGGTGGAGGGCTTAGGCGGGCAGTCACCTCTGCAGGGATGGCGTTCCAGGGATCGACCTGGGTATCTGAGGGCAGGGCAGTGAGAGTGTGCACCTCCCATCACTTTCTGTGCTATTTACGGTTCATTTCCCCCCATATCACTAGTCAACAGTGGGTGTGTGCAGTGGTGATGGACAGGAGGGCTGAGATACACAGCCCAGGAGGATCTAAGTTGGACCAGAGGGAGTCCCAGCCTTACACACCCGAGCAATGCTCAAGCAGGAGACCCAGGAGCGTCCCCAAGAAGTGCTGCCTGAGGCACCGCGTCCCTCTCGCTCACCTCTGACCAGCCACCTCCGTGTACCACAGCACCAACCCGTGGGAATGAACGGCTGGGTATTAATGCTCTTTTCTCCCTGCTTTATAGGATGGCTGCTCTTTTCCTCAAGAAGTTAACATTACAAAATGTAAAGACTGAGAATTACTACATTAGAAGATGTTTGGGCAAATACATCTTACAGGGGCTGGCACCCACACAGCTGTCCCCAAGACCGTCCTGCCTCATTCACGCAAAAGCTTTTAGCACTAAAGACACCCAGGATGAGAGGACAAAGAAAAAAAAGAATGAGACGGCTTTCAGTAGTGTTGGGAGAAAAATCAACGAGCGCATCATTCACGTGCTGGACGAGCAAGGCAACGACCTGGGCCACATGCACCGGGCGAACGTGATAAGGCTCATGGCCGAGCGGGACCTGCGGCTTGTGAAGAGGGACCCCCACGCGGAGCCCCCGCAGTACCAGCTCTTGACGGGCGCACAGATCCACCAGGAGCGGCTGCAGCTCAGAGAGGCGGAGAGGGCCGCGCCCAAGCCGGGTAGGTACCCTGCTCTCTGCTCCCGTCTCCCTCGGGCCGGTAGATCTGCAGTTTAAATTGGGCATCTGCCAGGTGCCTGTAACAGCCGGTGAGTAACTGGAATCCCGTTTTACTACTGTGTCCAGTGTGTGTTTTTCATCCACTTCTGTTCCTTTTCTCCTTGCTACTGTGTGTCCGTCATCTCTCCCTTTACACCTGTGCAAAATGAGGGACAGACAAGGCAACCACCGCCAAAACGACGGGTGCTCTTTTCCCCCTCTGACCGTGGCGGGGCCTCCCAGGGCCAGGACTGCAGAGCGCCACATGGGGTGAGGTGTGGGAGAGGTGAGGACGAGTTCCTGGTCCTGTCCTGGCCTCTCGCCTGCCCTGGGTCCCTTCCTCCTTCTCTCCCCTCATCTCTGAGGGGAGGCAGGCAGTTCATTACAGAGAAGCACACTTCCTAACTCTGAGGTCATCCCCAGAGCATCCCCCATGCCCACTGCAATAGGGTAGGAACACTTAACAGGTTTTACCAACTTGTCACTTAAACCTTACAGAAGCTGTGAGCTGAGTTAAGTGAAGACGTTTGTTTTTCATGATGGCTAGTAACTGCTGATCACTAGAGGTCAGAATGTGTCAATTCTCTGACACCACATTTAGCAACAGGGATACTGACTAGGAAACAAAAAATATCCAAAGAGACCATCTGCGGTGCTAAGGGCATCAAACTGCGTCACAGTTAAAAAAAGGTGAACAGCCTGAAAAGCTTGGTTCAGAGGTGACAGAAGGGCTGACAGAGGACTCTGACCAGCTGGTAGGGGCTCTGAGAAGCAAGGAGATGCTCCTTTTTAGAAAAATTATTTTTATTTAAATTAAAAAATGATAAAAAGCACAGTGAACACCTGTTATCCACCACCCAAAATAAGAAAAAAAAAAAAGATTACCTGGTTCTCTTTAAAGGACCATTCCTTTGTTCTTTCATCAAACAATGGTAATGATAAATGGAAGCATTCCCTGTTTAGGTACTCTTACTTGGCAACTACAAAAGTGGTATTTCACCTTGTGTCTGTCTCCTCTATTTAACTGGAGGGTGAAACTTAATACCAGGCAGACAGGAGGACCTGTAGCAGCATAGACCTTAAGACGCGCTTGTGATAAAACACAGGCCTCACAGACCAGCCCCAGATCTCACTCTTTCAACCCAGGACCCACCCTGACCAAGGAACTGACCTTTTCTTCAAATATTGGACAACATGATCTGGACACAAAGAGTAAACAGATTCAGCAGTGGATCGAAAAAAAGTACAAAGTCCAGATTACAGTAAAGAAAGCGAAGAGTGCAGACGAGCCTGAGAAGAAAATGGTAAGTGAAAACAGACCTAAGTGACTGCTTGTCTTTGTTTTCTGGACTTAACAAGTACAGCTGTGGAAAACCTGGAAAATGCAAAGGCAGAGAAAAGTAGTAATTCTGCCCAGTCTTGGTGGCAGCTTTCTAATTGGGTTCTCAAAATGCAAAATGTACACTTTTTTCCCACCGTAGCATTTAGTGTTTAGCCATGTGAGAACACTACTTCCTCACTTAAGGGCTATATACTATTCTACTTCACAAACTGTAGAGGGTCCAACATTTAAATAGGAAGACTAGACACTGTAATGGGTTCATCTTTCTAAGTCCAATTCCTCTTTATAAATGCCTATGAGAAGCATTCAAGTCAAGCTTAAGTGTTAGTTTACAGTCCCAGGGTAAGTCTGGAGGATCTGTGGATTTCGCTTTTGGAGTTGCACAGCTTAGCAGCAGATAAAGGCAGCATTTACTCCAGTGGTTTTCAGCTCCAGGCTGGAATGACCCAGGCCCTGGGCCCAGTCCAGCCCACCCAGAATCTCTAGAACCATGTGTCTGTCTTTTTCTAACCATCTCAATGACTCTGTGAAGGACAGTTGGGAACAGCACCGAGCTGATAATTGGACAGTTGGGAACAGCACTGAGCTGACAATCTAGGGGGATAAGGGTGCCCTGCCAGTGCCCAAACCCACCACTTTGCACTTTTTGTGAGAGGGTGGTCTGGGCCAAACATAGCCTTAGTGTCATGACGGGGGATTCAAAACTATCAAGCCTTTAGCGTGTTGGACTAGTTACATGGAGTTTGTATAACCACCTGGTTATTGTACAGGTTTCGATCAGCTTAACGAGGTCTATATGATTTGACTTAGCAAATCCCTTATATAGCAATTCAAGAATGTTGGTTTTTATGGGTATCAGATAAGCATGAACACTGGCAAGAATCAGAGGTGCTGGTTTTACACTAGCCTTTTGTTTCCTCTTCTAGGAGGAGATGTGTAATCGAATCGTCCAGACCATGTCTGGAATTGCAACCTTCTCATCCCGGCCACAGCCCATCAGAGGAGGCAAGGCTGTGATGTGTGTTCTTCGTCCCTTGAGCAAAAAGGAGGAGGCTGCGTGGAGAGCAGCTCTGGGCACCCCGAGAGGAGACGCTCTGAACAGGGGAGACGGGAAGGACGGAGCATCTGGTGTCCTGCCCCAGTGACTTTAATAAACACATGCTTCTGGGAGAGAGAACTGCAGTGGCTGGTCTGTGGTCTTCCACACAGCGCAGGTGGATGTGCAGCTGCGGTCAGCATGGCGACGTGGAGTGCACGTGGTCTTCTATGCAGCTCAGCGGCTCCCCATTCCTTGGCAAAGGCACAGCCTGGTCCTGTGTCCTCTTAGGAGGGAGGTACCCACTAAGCCGGGAGGCCAGGCTCCGCTTCCCACGAGACGGCCTCACCTTGGGGAATAAGGAAGACAGAGCCAGTCAGGCCTCGTGTCTGCAGGTTCTGCAGCTGGGTCAACCAATAGCCCATCCAAAGTGTTTTTAAAAAAGGAAAAATCCAGAAAGTTCCAAAAGACAAAGTTTGAATTTGCCATGTGCTGACAACAATTTACACAGCATTTCCACTGTGTTAGGTATCATAAGTAACGTAGAGATAATTCATGGTACGTAGGAGGATGTGTGGAGGTCACATGCAAATACAGATGACCCTGGAACTCAGGGGCAGGAGGGCAGGGGGGTTAGGCACACGGACACCAGCACAGTTGAAAATCCACATATACTCAAGCACCTGTGGACTCTGGTATCCTGGGGGGCCCAGAGCCAACTCCCCGTGGATACCAAGGGATGACTAATTCAGAATCAAAACTATCAGAATCGTGTGCCTGTCAGGTATGCAACTACCGCAGCATACAACAAAACTGTCTTAAGTAAGGACGTGTACTCCACCCAACTGCCTTAAATAGTCATACAGACTCACAAACTAATAAGCAGTTGAAAATATGCCAAATAGTATATTTAGCATCTGGTTTAAGCAATTATGATGTTTTAAAATTAACAGCATGCTAAGTCTCAACTTACTTTGATTTTCTTCATGTTGGGGTCATGCACAACAGCATGCCTGCTGAGGCTCTGCTGCAATGAAGTAGAGAGAGACAGTGAGTCTATTTGTGAGACACCTTTGGAGTCTGTTAAAGTCCCCTGAGTTACTCAGATAAACCAACATCCTTCTTTCTGTTCTGTTCTGCGGAGCGATCCGACCTCTAGCACTGCAGCACACTGCTCCCTCCTCCACTGAAATCCTGCCTTCCTGGAGGACCTAGGTTAGGAGTGTGTGTGCTCCCCGCCTGCAGAGGGGTGGGGGTGGGAGGGGGCCAGTTCTGAATGGACTCTTCCAAGCTGAAGGAGGGAGTCTCTTCTAATTGCCCCGGTGTCTACAGCACCCCCAACACCCCTGGAAAACCTGGCCCAGGTCTGGTCTCCTCCGCCCTGACGCTGACCATGACCCTCACCCACCATTGTCTACTGTAGTTCACGGCCACTGCCTGACAGCAGCAATGGGGCACAGGTCTGCAGGGCCGGGTCCTGCTCTCAAAATCTGGACTAGTTTCCCGAAGCTCTAAGACCCCACCCCGTTCCCAATCCCCAGACCACTGCAGTTCAAAAAGACACCTAGGACATCAGGAGACTCTTATGAACAGTACGCATATGGTGCCACCGGCTACTGGGTCTCAAATTTAGTCACCTAAGAATCACCTGGGAAGTTGGTTAGAACACAAATGAGTGGACCCATCCTCCAGACTTCCGAGTTAGTGGGTCTGGAGCGGGTTTCTGGCAGGTTCCAGCCATGCTGAGAGCTGGACTTCGAGAACCAAAGGCAGGGGCCCATCTGGTGTTTGCCCAGCTTGGTGGAGAACCACTCCTGCTGGAGCCAGAGCGATGGGCCAGACCCTGCCCTCTGGCCCCCCCATCTCCCGGGAGCCTGGCAGAAAAGATGCAGACCCCAAGGACAGCCCCCCGCCCCCGGGGTGGGTGGGTGGACAGGGCTCACCTTCATGGCAAAGGTCTTGCCGCAGCCGGCGTGCTCACACACGAAGGGGCGCTGCTCCTCATGGAAGGAGAGGATGTGGCTCTGGAGGTTGAAGGCGGTGGTGTAGGTGCGGCCACAGCCTGCCCGTGGACACCGGCACACGTCCCGACTGGGGGCATGCGTCCTCATGTGCTGCCGCAGGAATTCCTTGCGTTTAAACGTTTTCTGGCACACGCCACACCTTATGTCTTCTGGGGGAGCAGAAGATAGGGGAGCCCACGTCCCCGGCGTTAACCATAGAGAAAAAGCTAACATAGAATATATCAAGTAATGGGTTCGACATCCAAAACCTGATGACAACACACCAATCAGAATGTCGGGCAGAGGAAACTAACTCCAGTGCTTGCTTCTTTAAAGTCTGCCTTCAGTTCAGTTCAGTCGCTCAGTCGTGTCCGACTCTGCAACCCCATGAACTGTAGCATGCCAGGCCTCTCTGTCTATCACCAACTCCTGGAGTTTACTCAAACTCATGTCCATCGAGTCGGTGATGCCATCCAACCATCTCATCCTCTGTCATCCCCTTCTCCTCCTGCCCCCAATCCCTCCCAGCATCAGGGTCTTTTCCAATGAGTCAACTCTTCGCATAAGGTGGCCCAAGTACTGGAGTTCCAGCTTCAGCATCAGTCCTTCCAATGAACACCAGAACTGATCTCCTTTAGGATGGACTGGTTGGATCTCCTTGTAGTCCAAGGGACTCTCAAGAGTCTTCTCCAACACCACGGTTCAAAAGCATCAATTTTTCGGCACTCAGCTTTCTTCACAGTCCAACTCTCACATCCATACATGACCACTGGAAAAACCATAGCCTTGACTAGGTGGACCTTTGTTTGCAAAGTAATGTCTCTGCTTTTTAATATGCTATCTAGGTTGGTCATAACTTTCCTTCCAAGAACTAAACGGCTTTTAATTTCATGGCTGCAATCAACATTGGCAGTGATTTTGGAGCCCCCAAAAATAAAGTCAGCCACTGTTTCCACTGTTTCCTCATC